CAACTTTCATAACATTTTCAAATCCCAATAATTTTGAACAGAGGGCCTCTTGATGTATAATACAATGAAACTGCATTAATTCCTTGGTATTTATGTTTTTAGTTTGTAAATATGTTTTTAACAGAGTTACTATCCCAGATGTACTTCCAACCATTGAAGGTGCTCCGTCAGTTGTAATTCCAGATATTTTCGTTAAATCCAAATCCATTATAGAACATTTTTCTAGAAGAGCTTTGAGCATGTCACTTCCCCTGGTTTGACTTGTCAAAGAACTCATACCAATCAGTTCTTCACTCACTTCAAAATTTTGCGTTACACCTCGTAAAAATATTAATAGTTGAGCAGTTGAACTTATATCTGTAGATTCGTCGAGCGCTATAGAAAAATACTCAAAACTTCTCGATTTCGTAGCTAATTGCTCTTCTATATTATCTGCTAATGCGGTAATTCTTCTTTGAACAGTCATCCGATTTAACTGAATTTTTTCAAACTTCTTTACATTTTCCGGACAAATTTTTTTTGCGGCGATATCCAAACATTGCTTAACAAACTCACCATCTTTAAAAGGCCGACAAGTTTTCGCTATTATTCGAGATATTTCAAAGCTAACTTCAGTGGCTGTTTCAGCATCTTGAATTGGTTTTGTAAACATAGATTGCTGGCCTATTAGTTCCCGTTGTAAAGTGGAAATTCTTTGCGTTCGATTTTCGCCAGTTAATTTGGTAAAAGTTGGATGCTGGGTTTCATAGTGCCTTTTCACATTATATTCCTTCGGAATAGAAACACTACTCTTGCATATTAAACAGACAATTTTGTTATGCGATGAAATAAAAAAGTATTTTTCGGTCCAAATATCATGAAACTGTCGATTTTCATCTTCAACCTTACGACTACGTTTCTTACTGGGGCCTGGTTTATCCATATCAAAATTAATATTATATGTTACAGTCGGTAAAAGCCAAGTTCGAACGACGAAATATTTACTCGTCACAGATTACAGTTCTCAAACAGTATAACGTTCGCTTATCCGTAGTCAAAACTTAACTGCCCCGGTAGCCGGCGATGCGTCGTATTTATACGAGTTACCAAACATCGAGAACCATCCACTTTGTTCGGGGATCGACGTGTTTCGCGAATCTGTAATCTAGTTGATGCGACAGATTTCTAGTCTCGTAATAATATGCTTGGACCGGAGCGCGGCGAGTAGAATACTTTTAAAATTCGTTGGCGGGCCGCATAAACATCGACAGCGGGCCGCTGTATGTGCATCCCTGGTTTAGAGTTTTTGACTTTTGAAGAGATTTATTGACTTTTATGGCTTGTAGTCACTGATAGAGGTCGAAAACTATTGATAACACTAGCGATAATTATCGATAGTTGACACTATCGAATTATACCAACAGTTTACTATGTTCTTGATTGTGCCTTCACCCATCATTAAATAAATATGCAAGTAAGTAAGCTTACAATTTTACGATGTACAGAACTAATAAATTTGGATATGCCTTATAGAAATTTAGATCGCGCTATCTGTCAAATATCCAGTAAGGCGTGCTATTTGCTAATTTATTCACATTCAGACTTTCAGCTAATGCATGGTCAATGTGATGTAAATGAAATATCAATTTGTCGACTCTTTGAAACTTAAAAAGAAAACGTAAATTAAAGTACTACATATTTGATTTGAAAGCTCGAACTAGACTTGTGAAATTGAAATAATCATCACCATCATTATATGAGCACGAAAAGTGAGTGACAAAGTTTTAGGTTGACAATTAATTTCATGAACCTTAACTTAAAAAAAGGAGCTGTAGCAGCAGAAATAGGCTAAATCTATTGTTAAGCAGTATGCCGCTTTATGGTCACGATACACTGACTACCATAAAAACACGTGCCATACACTGAACCAAGCAAAGCGTCAACCGCTAACACACGCACAAACGATAATGAAATGCACGACCAACGTCCTTCATGGATTGTTGTTCAAAGGTACGCCAGGCCAGAGGGCAGATATTAGGGATATATATGTATCGAATAAATTGATCGATGCGAAGCTTTAGGTCAGAGGCAGACATATGCATGTTATTGTACAATGACGCGGGTAGTGGGATTATTAAAATGTGAAGTAGTAGTTAATGCTTCTTCACAAGTAGTAAAAATAGCATCTATTAAAAACTTCGACTATTATTTTTAGATATGCGCCTGCGACCTAAATGTTGTAAATGTTGAACAGTCATTTTCGTTTTTGAAATCCATATTTCCCAATGATCTTATAATCCCATAACCCCATAACCTCAAAACCCAGTCAAGAATAGATCCCAAAGGGAACAGAAGCCTTCTACGTCCTCATCGTTGTTCCTAGGTTCGGCAAAACGTTATAGTTGTCGGGGTTATGGGGTTTTGAGGTTACGGAGTAAGGGGTTATAGGTTTATAGGATTAAGAGGTTATGAGGTTATAGGGTTATAGGCGTTGAGTGGTCAATGGATAGTGGATTTATTGGGTTTTTGGACCTATTTTTGAGGTTATGAAAAATGCTGACGTGGACCCCGGATTTGGATTCAGCGATCCCGGAAACAAGTAATCTTTTCGATTTTTTTTTGTGGAGCGGTGTTATCATTTGATTAACTTTTGCTGGTACCTATTATTACGTACTATACCTTTTTGTATGGTAAGTTCCATTTGAAGCGTCTAGTGTAGAAAAATAGACACTGCCTCTTTTTGTTTCATAATATTGTGCAAACACTTATATACATATTCTTATCTTAAAATGTAAAGAATGCAGTTATAAGAAGATAACTGTTCTATCACTTTTTCTAGTGATGATAGAACAACAAAAATACAAGATATTTACTTCTTCGGAATGATTTGATTAGATACGTTTTGCATACCTAAATTTTAGGTATCGAAAAACATTATTTAACTTCATGTGATTTTTGAACAACTCACAATTCTACAAGCATCAAAGCATCTAGTTTTAGTAAACTTACAATAGACATAGTCATTGAAATTAAGATACTAAAATTGCTTCAAATATTGGTAGAACTAAAATACCCGCTGACATAATCTAGTAAATGGAAGAACCAAAATAACGTGTTTGATTCAAACAAAATGTTTTGTTTCAAGAGAACCTGCAGCACGAATTTACATTGCAGCCTTGAAGAGAACGTCTGGACAATTTTACAAAATGTTATTTTGGACTGTATCAACATATGGCATGAAAATATTGTATTTAGACATACTTATTTTTAAATATTACATTTTAATGGTTCACCGTAAAACATGTAGGTATATACTTATAATCTTATTTTTAAATTAGTCTGCAATTAGTTAGTCACGGTTATAGAATTTTCGAAAAATATTTCAAGCGATACACTCATTATGGAAACCCGAACGAATTATTCAGATAAGTGACGGGTTTTTGGCTAAGATAAAAATGAGAAAAAATAAATAGATTACGGATATATCTCCGAAATTATACATATTTTAAACATTATTCTTTTAGGATAGGTATTTTTTTTCTAAATAAGGCAGCGATTGCATTGGATCGCGCAGTACGTAATGTAAGATTAAAATTAATGCATGTGTTTAGAAGTCAACGGTTACACTGCAGTATTAACAATTTGGATCTATTTTACTAAATCTTTAACAACAATGCTGTGTACCACTTTATTCCTACGATAATTTTTTAAGAATTCATATAATGGCCTGCTAGCAGATTTTCGTATGAATTCCCATCCGATGTAACCGCCGCCTAAAAAAATACGTTATTCATGCCAGTCAGTGACAGTGGCGGTTCGTCATATGAAGATTAATACGAGGAATGGTCAAACTAATAGGTGGTAAAATCAAACTAAAACAAGATGTGGTTCCACATATTTCTGAAGATCAACAATGTGGAAAGAGAGCTACAAGTAACCCTGAGGATTCTGCATTTACAAAACGACAAAGATAAGATACAATAAAAGATATTTTAGAGTCAACACCAGTATTAACACCTATGCAAGATGGTGAAGCTCAAGCAAGCACCAGCAATGTGAATAAACAAGAGTTTATTACATTTCAAATAGACATAAAAGATGTAAAGAGTACCTACAGCTATTAGGCAAGGTAACCAGTCAACACTTTTCAAACATCCAGAACAGACAACTGTTAGGTATAAAGTGTAGGAGTAGAAGGTATAAGCAAGACCAAACTATCATAGCAGACATACCCTATACAATTATAAATAGAATATTGCACACACAGCTTCTTCACAAATTAAAATCACAACATTCGGTCTCTTTTACTTCTCTAACCTCATATGCATTAAAACGATCATCAGTTTTAATGAATTCCATTACCATAAAAATGTCTGAAGCCATTGCAATAAATAAAGAAGAACATTAACGATTGTAATTTTAATAACTTCACCTACACAGCACGAGTTAATTGTAACATATAACCACACTTGCCGACCAGCGCCAACGTCAACAATGTCAACATGTGAACATGAATGACAGTCGCTGTGGCAAATTACCGCAATCAACATTACTTAGCCCGTCCTGGAACTACTTTAATACGTCATCACCAATAAGATTGCGTTTCGAATCAGCTGTAAATTTTAAATTTTTTTACAATTTTAAAAGGTATACAATTTAGTAAAACAGTATATACAATACCATGTGATATGATATCTATGTTTTATATACTATTTACTTTATTTGAACCAAATTCTGAATTATGGAAACAACCCTATTGCTCCTATTGCACCAGAACTAAAACATATAGCATTGCATTTAGCTGGATTTAATTTTAAATTATTTTTTAATTCATACTCCTAAGTAGGTATATCAAAACTGAATTAATTTTACATCTCACACATGTACAATTGTTCTTTTTCGAGCCCGACTACTTTTCGCGCACCCCCCGTAACCGAGAAGTAGGTAAATAAAATTAAGAAAACGTTCTAAAATGGTCATTCGCATTCGGCCGGGACCGGCGTGTTACGTCGGGACGCCAACGTCGCCTTTCTAAAATAGACGCCGGTTCATCGCCGTTCCCAACTTGACTAGATTCATATTTAAGATCCTCTAGGTAGTTGCATTTCGGATAGTTCGAAACCGGAACATAAAAGTTTTACATCCGTGACAGAACATGGCCTACAGTTGGGATAACAGAGTCAGTTTCGTCGTCAAGTACTTGTACGGTATGTAGAGTTTGTCCGTTTGTCCCCTTTCGTAACAGTTCCGCTCGCTATTATTTCAGGATTTCGGTGCCTGACACTTGTTGAGGATCGGGTTGATGTACTGGCAGCTAGCCGTTTTATTTAAGCCAGCGTTTTTCAGTGATATTCCTCATTCTATGCATATAATTTACATTGATACTTGATATATACACGGTGTCCTAGAAATAACTGTCATCAAACACAATTTTTGTCTAATATTTTTTTCCAAAACCTCATAATTTTAAATTTATGTTGCCCGCCACTGGATGCTTGAGTGAGTGAGTTGAGTGAATAATAAAGAAAAAAAACATAATAAGTCTATAAAATAATCACATCACATAGGCAACTGGTCAGAGTTATTTTAGAGGGTACAAAGTACGGGAAAAAAATAAGAGTTTTCGAAAAAATTTGTTATTTTTGTTGAGTTAAATGCGAGGTTAAAATATAAATACTTATTTCTGGGCCACTAGTGTGAGAAAGTAAAATAACTCAAAAACAAAATCAAAAAACCTCAGGACAAAATTAATTTGATACAGACATTTTTTAAATGGAACAACCTGTATATTCTTAAACATATGGATTTCTGAGAAAATTCTATATATGGCAATATAAACAGTTTAACATTTTAGCGCAGGGTTGCCAAGTTATGTAGAAAGCTCTTCGAATTTTGGAAAAAACATGACCTCCAAGAAATTATATTAACTTTCAACTACTAACACTTATGTTAGAGCAAAAATATTTGACAAAGTTATAGGCAAATGTTAGGCAAAGACTTCTGTATTAGCTAATATCGATATTTTATACAAAGAATTTTTTATAATACGATCATTTTAGAAAAGTTCAAACATGATTTTCTAAAATATTTCAAATGGAACACCCTGTATTTTATTGTTCTATTTTATTCGCTTATCAGTCCACTTCAACTTTTATTAAGTATGTTCTATACCTAAAGTGTTAGTTTTTAAGATATAGCAACATTTCTGGAAAAACCTAATTTTTATTATTTTCGGTCGCACGAAATTGCTTTGGAAGAACTGTCACATTGTGTCAACTTGTCAGTTCATAATTTATCATACCATTTTGAGTTAATTTTATTAGTTAATATTTATTTGTAGTATTCTATAAAATAATAAAAATTAAGTTTTTTCAGAAATGATGCTATATCTCAAAAATGAACAATTTTAGATATAGAGCATGCTTGATAAAAGTTGAAGTGGGCCGATATGTGAATAAAATAGAATAAAATACAGGGTGTTCAATTTGAGAAATTTTAGAAAATCAAGTTTAAACATTCTAAAAATGATCGAATATCGATATTAGCAATAAAGGAGTCTTTGTCTAACATTTACCTATAACTCTGTCTAATTATTTTGTTCCAAGTGTTATTTGCTGAAAATTAATAACTTCTTCGATGTTTTTTCTAAAATTCTTCGAATTTTCTACATAACTTGACAACCCCGCACTAAAATGATAAACTGTTTATATTGCCACATACAGTGTGTTCCATTTAAAAAATGTAATATTTGGCGTGTCCGTTGTCATCACCCTGTATGTATCAAATTAATTTTATAGTTTAGGTTTCTTGATTCTGTATAACATTTGTATAAACTTTTTTTTCCGTATTATAAGTAACAAGGGAGTTATCTTACTTTCTCACACTGGCCCACCCTGTATATGTTTCGTATAAATAAACAGATTTTAATTTTCTTGCATTCTACGCAATAATTGCTATTAACTTTTTACAAGCCAATATACAGCGTGTCTACGGATGGAATTGAAAAGAAGGAAAAACTTTTCATTTTTCATGTTATGAGAAAAAGTCATTGTTGTTAAAAAAACTCTGCTTGTGTTGGGCCAACATAAATAATATTAAAACTCAACAATACACTATATTAATTAAGAAATGTAAAAAGCCAATCATTTTCCAATATTTAATATTTATTTTTTTCTAATTTTTTTTTGGTATTTTGCCACCCGCAAAATTGAATAGAATAATCACCAGAATTGCACCAAAAGTCAAAGGTTATTTTTGTCTAACCAAAGATCTTATACCAAAAAAAGACAAAATACAAAAAATATTTCACTAAATACTGCGCATTTCAAAAAGTGCATATAGTCTATTTTACCAAGCCAAATTGTTCGAACTTTTATTTAAGCGCGTCTTTAACAACAAAGTCCGTAAAATATTAGTTGTCTGAAAAACTTCTACTTGATACTTTTTGATGTGATAAATGACTGAATTTCAAAACAAAAACCAGTTCTCAACAAATTTAGGATATTAACACACATTTAAATTCTAAATAACTGTCAATAATTTTTTTCTGAATTTCTTACACAAAAGGACACTTACACAGGATGAAGAGGTTGACAATACCAAAACAGGCCGGTTGTTTTCAAATTTGGAAAATTTATAAACAAATTTTAATACTGAACAACTTTACTTTATTGAAAATTTTTGACAACTTATACGGAAAAATACTACCTATACAAACAATTTTTCTTCGTCATATTCTCCTTAATTTTTCATAAATAAAAATACGTTATAAATTAATATCAATAATGTAAGACGATCTGAGAACACTGTATATGATATTGTTGGAAAATAATTAATTATTTATGCTTTTCTTAATTAGCACAGTGTGTTATTGAGTTCTAAGGATAAAAACTAGTATATTTCTAATTATTTCTTAATAGGGAACACCCTGTATATGTTTGACCACTTAAAACCAGATTTTTGCGTATTTGAACACAACTTTTCATAAATTGAAAAATAAATTATCTCCTTTCAAACCCATCTGTCGACACATGTATATTTATATAAATATATTTAAAAGTATTTCTTGATTGAATGCTAAGCTGTTTAGGACATAGGTTCATACAAACTTTTCTACTAGAAATGATCCGATAAATCACTTCCTGAAATATTTATACGTATAATTTTTCTTTTCAGATAAATAAACTTTCAAATTTTACAAATGTGAACCATTAAGCAAATAAATAAAAATTTTCGTTAATCACAAAGCGACACATTGTTTGCACATGTGTATAAACAAAAATAGAAACAATTAGAAATCTTGAGAAAAAAACTTTCAATTACAATTATTGGTGTATTTTTTTATTATAGCTATAGGTAACCATTTCATTCATAATTTAATGAAATTTGTGGGCATATGGTGATAATTTACTTGAATACCATTCTATCTTTGATTATTAACAATTTTGACCTTCAATATAATGTATTGTTTATGGTTAAATAGTTTCTACTTACTCATTACGACTATATACTGAATAAATAAATAAATAAATTGCATGAATTAAAGTTATATCAAATTAAAGTCACTATTATTAATAAAACCATCCTTATTTCTTCACATGAAAAAAAATAGAGCTATATTTGCAACTAGAATATATTTTTTAAAATGACCACCAATGTTAAAAAAAATATATCAATTTTAAATATGTTTCATGTGAATTCCAGATTATATAATTCCCCAATAATATCAATTAGAATAGTATCAAATTATACTACTGTATAAGTATATGAAAAGTTACTATATTTAATAATTACATCATTTTAGGCTCTTATATATTTTTAGAATTTGAGTGTTAATAAAACAAGATATATAAATAAGGTCGGTGGCGATTTACGTTAGAAAATTTTTCAAAAGAATTATGTTTATTTTCAGTAGATAATTTAGAATTCATTATGTTAAACATAACATAATATTCGAATTTATGTTCAAGTATCCTGAAATATATCAAAGTTAGCAACAATGTTATGTTTTGTCGACGTTTTAAACATTTTTCTCGGTGATGTTTAAAAAATTATAAATCCATAGAATCTGGAATATATAATAGAAGTTTTAATAACAGAATGGGTCTATCTGTATTCAGTAATAAAAATTTAAATTCGGTGAGAATGCTTTAGATGCTTGCTTTATGCTTCAATATAATATATTGAAGCAATGGAACGTTATTTGTTTCTGCTTCATAAACAAATATTGGGTTATAGACGTCAAAGATATATTTTGGCAATTCCTTCAATCTACAACTTAACCTTTGACCTGTGTTATATATACCTACATATAATGTGCTACTATTATTTTGTATTTTTTATTTATTACATATTTATACATTTGGCAAAAGATTCTAAAATACATTACAATATACTGTTTTCTTATGTCAGTAAAACTGTAAAAATAGGAAAACTAAAAGGAACATTAAAATTAGTTATAGGTTAATGGGTCACTAATGACTTATTTATTTACATTTCCAAGATTCTAATTTACTGAATTTACCTGGAAGATCTACAAATATACGGTGTCTCAGGTTTTAATTAGAAAATTTAATAGGCAACGCTCAAAACTAAAAAGAAAAGTTTATATGAACTTGAATGTTTTATAGCTGTTTTATATTGACAATTTATTCATCAATAAATTGACGAAGTTCTTCATCAATTAATTGATCAATAAATTGTCAATGTAAAACAGCTTTTACAACTGCTTCGTTTTCGAGACACAGGGTGTTAAATTTAATTTAAAAAAGTATTTTTTCAAATATCTCAAAATACGCAGAGTCCTATTGAGTCCTATTGAGTAGCCACCAAGGTCACCGGATTTAACCCCTTTAGATTTCTTCTTATGTGGTTATTTGAAATTTAAAATTTATGTGAATAGACCAAATAATCATGTTGACCTGAAACAGAGAATACGCCAAAAAATAAGACTTATTCCAGCAGAGGTAATTGAAAACGTTCAACGGGAAACAATCCTTCGACTACAAAAATGTAAAAGGACAAAACATTGAACATTTAATAAAGCAGCAGTTGTTGTGTAAATAATGTTTTATGATTAAACATTAATTTTTTTCATTTCCGAAAACCGCTGATTTTAGAGATATGGTATGTTACCGTACAATTCAAAAATGGCATACAGGGTGTTCCATTAAAAAAATCAATGATGACTGTATATGTTCTTCTTGAGACACCGTGTATATTTTTCCACAAAATAATTATCTGACCTTTCATCATGAACACACTGTATGTAACTACGTAGGTATTTTGAGAAAAGAAGTAATTATTATTAAATTTGATTACTGTCATTTATTTAAATGTACAGTGCGAGTTTCTAATGATATAATTTTGATACACCCTATATATTTAAAAAGTAATGGCTAATGCAAATGTGAATGTTCGCCTGATAGCAAGTAATCGTTAAAAGCGAATAATTTCAGGGAATATCTTGAACTGGACTATGTATCGTGAAATTTATTATTTTCATACGATGGTCGTCAAGTATATCTATTTTTATTTGTATTAAGAGAAATGTCTTGAGTAAATATAGAACAGAGATCCGTTGCAAATGCTGAGGCTGTTATTTCTAAGCAGACAAGTTGTCTGAAAACTGTTTTCTTATAATTTCCAACTAGAAAACTAAAAACACTGCCAAGACCTTTCGGTCGATGATCTCTTTTATTTAAACAAACCATTTTATGGAAGTTTGGATGCCCTGTATTTTTATAGACCCCAAGTTCAATGAATAGGAAAACAAATGATTTCTACAATGTCGTTGGCTTTTATTTGTTTATTTCTCATTGATTTATTACATATAAACTTTGAAACATTTTGAGACACAAGACCGAAAATAAAATCTCATCTATAATATTCGGATGAAAAGTCTCTGAAGATTTATAGGAAAGAAGTCATTTACGCAAAAGTCATTCTAACAATCATGAGTTCTTATTGTCTGCAACGGAACCTGTTTGTGGAAATTTGGCAACTAATCTTTTGTCTCATTCGAGACGTTCCTTCTACCGAAAATTCCACGTAATTTGCGCACAATCTCAGCTACACAATCTCCGTACTTGTAATGAATTTTCACAATCTTCAATTGCTCATGATGCCAATTCTTCTGAATGAAATTGGCCCACAATTTAGATCTTGTGTTACCTTTGGGACAATATTTATCTAAACACATAAACAGAGTAAATAAAAATTGAATTTGTAGACATTTCAGTATATTAACCAACTATTTTTTTCTTGCTGAAGATTTATTGTCTAAATAATTCAAATAATTCTTACATAATTCATAAATAATTACAATGATAGTAGTGTTTTGAGAAATTCGCTTAAATTGTTATTATTTCTTACAGATATCGACAATAATGGGTACTTGGACGAAAGAGATTTTGCCTGTTTAGCTCTGAGAGCAACAATCATTGAAGGCAAAGGAGAATTCAGTTATAATAGACTCCAGGAAAATCAACATATAATGCTGAGCCTTTGGGAAGAAATAGCCGAACTTGCTGACTTCAATAAGGTAAGATTTGTGAAAGGTTTAGTGAAATAAACGGTTAATTTATCTTCGTTTTTATTATTTGACAACGAAAAATAAATGTCGATCGTACCTTTTGTTTTTTAGATACAAGACGTTTATAAATTTTAATTAACATTTAATAATATTAGAGTGTGGACATCAGGTGTTTAAAAAACAACTTTTAATATTGTTAAACGACTGTCTTGGATGACTGAAAGAAAATGAAGCAGATTTGATATATGTACTTTAATATACTGTTCGCTTATTTTTCTTTCAGTTTTAATATAATTTTTAGTTTTTTTCAAATTTCCTAACAAAAGTAACTCAAAATGTCAAAAGAAAGTTCTACGAAATGATCATATTTTTGGTAAACCACAAGGTTATAAAATATTTCATCAAATATTTAGTTTAAATTTTTGTGCTTGTTTCTAGTGTTTTTATTTATTTCTTGTGTTGCATGAATTAACTTGACTTTACTAAATGCCTTTAGAAATTAGAGTTATTCAAAAAAGTGTTATGTAAATGTTTCCAGTACATCAAAGTAAACATACTACATCTCAAATGGTTCTAATGTTGACAATGTTTATATTTAAGTAACTGTGTTTTACATTTACAACCTTTTAATATAACGAATCGGCAAAACATATTTCTATTTTCATATATTTTGATGTCATATACGATACTAAAAATAGTGGAAGACAAACTCGTGACAGATAATTTGATTTTGGAGTCCAACAGCGCCAGAAAAAAATATTCCAATTGTTTTCTATGTTTTCTTTCAAATATGGGTCGCAATCACTTTATGTACAAAATATTGATGTTTTCTACAAAGTACGCTTTTAATATATGCCATTTATTTTTATCGATTATTTCGTAAATCGGCGATTTTGGACAAAAACCCTGAAATAGGTCAATGTTTATTTTTAAAAGTACGTTCTGCGAATGTGTTCTTTTCATGCATCTAAATTTTGTGGTATATTTTGGTATACTTTCTATTTTAAGTGTTCTCATAAAAAGAAATATAGAGGAGTTAAATCTGGAGATCTAAGTGGCCAGAATCAATTGATTCTCTTCAACTTATCCACCTATCTCGAAAGACGTTGTCCAAGTAGTTTCTTACCAATACATCATAATGTGGGGGTGCACCATCTTGCTGAAGCTATAGATCATTTATGTTTGCAAACAACCGATTCAGTTCGTCTTACAGAAATTGTAAAGATCGAAGACCTGTTAAGGTTTCTTCGAAGAGTATGGTCCTATGATCCTATTATCTATTCTTCCAATTCAAACATTCACTTTCTCTGGGTACTGAGTGTGATACTCTTCCATCCAATATGGATTGTCAGTTGCCCAGTACGAGTCTTTAGAAACATCGGATTTCGGTTAATTTTTTCCATTGAAATTTCACAAAATTCGACTCGTTTATGAAAATCGTCATTCAAAAGCTCTTGAATTAAGGTAACTTTATAAGGTTGACACTTTTCCTTTTTTAGCATTCTAAAAACTATTTTATGACAGACAAGTAATTTGTAAATTGTAATTTTTAGTTATGACGTCATCACTGTCACGCGATGACATCATATGTAAAATAAGTAATTCACAGAAAGCTCTTTTAAAAACAAAAATTGACTGGTTTTGTCCAATGTCACTGATTTACGAAATAATATACATACTATACAAGGTGATTCAGAACTTATCCAAAAAAAAATTCTGGATGTACAGGGGACCCTTACAAATACAATTTTGTAAAGAAAAAATCAAGTGCAGTTCGAAAATGATTTAAAAATACACTTCTGTACGGCACTGGAAACTGGTCCACTGTAAAACGTGACCTCGCACAATGCGACCGGCATGGCGGTGTGATAAAAACGGACAAAAACTTTCGCAAGGAAAGAAATATGTAAATAGAATTTTATCGCACCTATTTTATATCGGCAAATTCAACTGCTTGTGCCTTTATTAATTAAGACAATTAATTTGTGTTTTTAAATAATAAAATCATTTGACATACCCGATGTTACAACAATTGTTCAAAATTTTATCTAGGTGTGTAAACACATTTGGGTCCATCTTACTCAGTTTCTACGAACTAACACAAATGTTGTCTTGCTTCACCATATCACAAATGCTTCACCATAAATTAAAACGATATCCATGAACTCCGAGTTGCTATACACGCAAACCATTTTTGACACTAACTACCCATTTTTGACACTAACTACTAAAAAAACTATTGAACAGATAACAGGTAAATACTATTGCAACGACGATTGCAAAATCCGATTTCAGTATTCGGAGTCGCTGAGGCCACGTGGCTCTCCACGCGCATTGCGAATGACGCTAGAGACTACAGTTGTCCAGCTATGTAGTCGTTGAATGTACTATAACTTCAATAATTTTTTTTCTCGGAAACTATAAGGATTTTACAAAAAATGTTTTTACGATATTGACTCCATTTCTCATGCCGCATCTATTCCCAATTTTTTTTTGGATAAGTTCTGAATCACCCTGTATAAATGTTTATAATGTAGTAAGAATATTTGTTCTTACTTTATATCTACTCTTTGTCATTCTGTTTTGGGGCAACATTCTCAGTGAAATTTGGAGGCGCTTTTGTCAGCAAAATTGGAAAGGTTCTTTGAAACTTCGAAAGTATTCGGTAGTAAGGGTGTGGGCTCCTTTATAAATAAAATTCTTTGAGACTTTTACGTAATGAAATGATGCCAAACACACTTTAAATCAAGTCTAGTGTAAACATTTAATTGTACCCTACGTGAATGCCTTGGAAACTGTTCAAAATACTGTTTGCATTGAATATAATAAATATTTCAAGAGAGCAAGACCGTCTCCGAGTTATTTTGTTGCATAAAGTATTCTGTCCTTTGTCTTTTAATCTCCCCAAGGTCTTATTGTTTACAGGAATTGTATTTAAAACATTTATAGGATGATGCTATAGAATTATGTGAATTTCTGTGAAGATTTAAAGATATTTCAGTTGTGTAAATTGAAGCTACTTACACACTCTTGTATTCAAGGTGATTTTTATTTTTTTTCTACATATATTGAAGTATCAATACTTATAAAAGGCACTGTAGAGAGCTTTTTGAACATTGGCAATACAGAAATTAGTAATATAACTGAATACTGTTCACATTTCTGTATTTACACAATTTGAATAATCAGTTACTAATAATTTCGTGTATGTAACACTACTCTTTAGGTTAATAATAATAATAATACTAACAATATTTTATGTTTTTAATTTTGCGCTTTCTAGTTTTGTAAATAATTTTATGCAACTGTTACACTGACCTATACATACACACCCTCCCATCACATATTAATGTCCCATCCTTTATAAAAGAAATGCAAAATTAGTGCAATAGTGCCATGTTTTTTAGTAGCTAGAATGTTTTTTAGCGATTTTTGTGCATCTATTGCCATATTTTTTCTCTTTTTTTGTGGATAATGTAGAGAATGGGTGTATTTCCAATTTTTGAAAAGTATATGTGACCAACACAAATAAGTTTGCATTTCTGACTCAAGTAGAGCTAATTGAACAGTTTCCCTGCCATGTTCAGTGCGCATATGTGGGCGGAGCTAACTCAGACTCAAACTTATTTGTGTTGGTCTGTATATTTTTATGAATGGCAAGGTTCTTTTCTATTTTTTTTATTTATAAAGAGATTTTTAACATTTCATAAACAAATTTTGTACTGCATGTCTGTATTTATAACAAATTTATATAATATTTTGATATTTTTTACCATTCTCTTTTTTTCTAAGTAAAAAGTTTGCAATTTTAGGATTATTTTGTTATTTTTTATATATATTGGAGAAATGATTGGCTATTCCATAAAATTGAATTCTGTATTCAAATAGAGGAGTGAATGAAAGAAAAAGCAATATTTTGTGAAAACTAAAACTAGTAAGCTGTGCCAAATCGAGCCACGGAGTACCTGCACAATATTTTTATGCGAGTAAACAATCGGGGTAATTTGTTACAAATTTTTAACACTCATTTTCACTTGTCGAGTGAGTTGAAAATGAGAACATTGGCATCAAAAGATTAATGGAAACAGGCCAGTCCGAACGAATTTAGAAAGTTACAATGGTTTAGATAAGCCTCGGTATTTTAGGATCAGTTTTCTTTGACGAAGGTTGCAAGCAGCAATAAAAGTAGTTTTACCAAGAATTTTTTATTCGATTAAGTCGATTCTTGTTATAACTTAAACTCAATATTTCCTAACAGATAAATGTAAACTCTGATGGCAGTCTAATAAAGTGGATAATGTTTCTTGTTTCCCGTAATTTTTTTTTTGTATTGAAAAATTGTATTTCAAAAACGCGTGCCTCAATAGATGATTTGTGTAGCCCAAATAAACTACAGTTTGTTCTACATTTAGCAGCATCACCCTCATATTTTAGAACACACGGTCAATAAATAATTTTTATTTCCATCCCAATTTCATGATCCTCGAACTTTTTTGTTTTAAGAGTTATAAAAAAAAATGTAAAATACGAAAGTTGCACAATTTTTTATGATTTTTTCGAAAATAATATTTGAAAAACAAATGAAGTCCAAACAATATTATTATTAACTTTGTTAATTTAAATGGAACACCCTATTGCTTTATGGCACATTATTTTAGCTATATAAATTTATTTATTTATTTTATTTATTTATTACAATAAAATATCCAACGGGACAAAAGCCCAATTACAGGATAAGTAAAACTATGATAAAAAACACAAAACAAAAAGATAAATAACTACATTAAAAAAAAAAAAACACACAATTAAAACTCGACACCTATATGACAAAAGTATAAATCATACAAACTTAAAAAGGAATAGGTCAAACGCAAGAAGCAAGAAAAGCTACAAAAAACAGCGCTTCACATCAGCAAGTGTGCATGAAAATATGTCCAAAACATTTTCAACGGCACGATAATTATATATCATTTGATACAATGGAGATTTTAACAAAACATTGGTACGGGCTTGAGGTATAAGGAATGCATTGCTAAATCGATTGTTAAGCCTAGGCACCCTAAAATTCAAATACGCCAGCAAAGCATCGGAAACAACTAAATAATGTACAATCTTAAAGAGAAGCCGTACACAACACATTTGACGCCTCGAAATTAGGCTTTGCAATTCGAAACGGTTATAAAATATAGCCTGTTGTCTGCCTGTATATCTCCTTTATCAATAGACTTTATTATTAACTTTTGTAATTTTACTGAACTTTAAAATTTAGTAAGGTAATTCAAGTGAAATCCAGACATTTTCATAAAGTTCGCATCATATTTTATAAAATTTGTTTACAAGTAAATACGGAAATTTTAGAAATAGGACAATTTGTAGGCCATTTTGTTGAAGATTCCTTTACAAATATTATTCGACATAATCGTTACTTAAACTCACGATATTCTAGGGAAATAACTACTCTGCAGACTAATACCCCGACCTGCATTGAATTGTACCCACAATATCTAGAAATAGCTATGACAGCCGAACCTTTCTTACATCTCACCTATACTCATTCTATACCTATAGCTAAGACACCAATAATTGCTGAATTATTTGTTGGTTGTTTCACTCTGTAACCGGTATATATCAGATGGTTCGGCTGACCAATGATTCTAGCTTACGGCAGGGCGGGGTGTTAGTCCGGAGAGTAGTTGTTCCATGCAATACCTTCAGTTTAAAAATAGTTTCGTCTAATACCTAAAATAGTAGGTCGTTATCTGACAGTTTGCAGCATTGAGCACCAGTGGCTATTCATAGATGTACATAGTATTGTTATACTCACCTACAACCTTCATTTTTTCTTTTGGGATATACGTGATTAATCTTCTTTGTACTTAGTCCTTCAATTACTAGAATTAAATGTTTCTTAAAATTTCTTAAACAAATTTCCAATTTTTGACAAAGTTTTTGACCACGGTGGGCCATAAAATTGATCTCATCAAGTAGTCCAATCTACCAATACGTTCTAAAATTCGAGACTGGTACTGCTCAAAGTAAAATATACTGTGTGTACATAATGGAAAAATTAAAATGGAATTAAACTGTTAGTAAGTTTTTTTATATTAGAATACCTTTGAATATTTAAATTTGAAAAAAAATCCACTTGTCAAACCTGAAATATATAAAAAGAAAACATTCGAGTGTTCTTAATTTATCAAAAGGAGAGAGTGAAAGGCTGTACGAGAGTTCGCATAATTGTACACAGAGTCCCACACAGAGACACACAATATTAATCACTAGAACGTGTGGTCCAAAAATTCAGGACCTGTTACAGGACGGCAAAATCACCGTAGAGGAGTTCAAGCAAGCTGTGCAGCAGTGCTGCATGGGCAGGCGGTACGAGGACTTCCCGCAGGCCATGAAGATGTTCATCGACTCCAATTTTAAGATGGTGGACCTCAACGACGATGGTGTCATAGCCGCGGACGAATATAGGTTCAACTGTATCACCAAGTTCGCCATTGACGATGTTGAGATTGTTGATGAAGCTTTTAACAATATGCTTAATGTGAGTACCCCTTAGTTCAAGCTAATTCTGAAGGTCAGTGTGTCAGTGTCAGTAAAGATATGATAAAACGTTTCTATATCATCAGAGAAAATGTAGTGAAAGATTCTTCCTTCGTTAAAATAAGGCTAACAGATGTAGAGTTTTAAGTATATTTTTTTATCAGATATCAATAACTTGTTTTTTAAAATGTCTGTTATTTTCTTTTCATTTTTTTCTCTAGACTGAGAACCACTAAGCTTGTATGATCAATAAAAAGTTTTTAATAGCATTCACTTCGTAAATAGTTGCGTGAGAGGGCACTTTACCAGATGACGTGGGTCTCACGAACCTACGGAACTATTCTTAAAGTATAAAATTAAAAACCTTTTTTATAGATCATACGATTTCTGTTCAGATTTAGACTCGCAGGCTTGCAATGACAGAGCCAGTATTGTTGAAATCTGGTATATACAGGGTGAGTCATTCATAATCGTACACAGCTTAATGTCAGATAGTTAACGTCAAAATATAGTAATTGAGCCAAACTTGTTGTTCATTTTCATTCTACAGAATGTTAACGTTGAAAAAATATTTTCTATTTTTTGCTATATTTTAAGTATATAAGTTTTGAAAATTTGTAGTTTTGCATTTTTTGAGGTGGCAAATACGAATATGTACAGTGTTGGGGTCACGTCTAGGGGGCGTTAGTTATGCTGTCCTATCAATGTAAAAATATATCTTAACATTTTGTATTTTAAAATTTTGAATTTTTTAGCTTAAAATTATTGAACTACGTTCAATTCTAAATAAAAAACGTATACTTGTTACAAATCGATAAATTTAACCGTTTTCGAGATACAGACGTTTAAAGGTTTTGAGATTCTGCAGGAAATCAGAAAATTAGAAGGTCATAAGATACCAAACCTGAATTAAGAATTAAGACAAACATTACAGCAACTGAAAATTTTTTTATGTATATCTTAACAAATTATTAATCGATTCTCAAAGCAACCATCAGCGACTTCAATGCACTTATTTAAATTTTGTCTGATGTTAAATAAAGTTCTATGTTGTTTGATAATACAGTGTGTCTACTTAAGTTGCAACCATATGGAAATCTTTTTTATTATTGGTTTTATGAAAAAAAGTTATTCTTCATAAAAAGTTCTACATGGTCTAAAATCTACAATGCAACCATCAGTTATGAAAATTTCCCAGTCATATGCGAGGTACATCAGAAATCATGAATTTTTCTCAAGAGTAAAGTACCCTTAATTTTGACAATACAGAAGAGTGTTATAAAAAAAAGTTATTTTAAAATATGCAATTACAGCCATTTAGCATGAAGATTCAGATTTTGTGATTATATACGTTTTATATTATAAATTACTTGTATTATTATAATTAAATTGCAATGTTGATCAAAAACATTAACAAATGGAAGGGTTATCATATTTTTAACAGATAAGAGAGATATAATATAAAACGTAATAAAACGTAAATAATAACAAAATCTGAATCTTCATGCTAAATGGCTGTAATTGCATATTTGAAAATAACTTTTAATTCAAAATAACTTTTCTTTATAATATTCTTCTGTATTGTCAAAAATAAAGGTACTTTACTCTTGAGCAAAATTCATAATTTCTAATATACCTCGTATATGGCTGGGAAATTTTGATAACTGAAGGTTGCATTTTAGATTCCAGACTATGCAGAACTTTTTAGGTAGAATAACTTTTTTCCATAAAACCAATAATAAAAAAGTTTTCCATATGGTTCCAACTGCTGTAACTGCAACACGCTGTATGAACTGATTCCTGAATATTTTTCCACAGTTGTTCTTGAATATTAATAATAATGTCTTTGTAAACTAGAAATGTAAGTAGCCCCAACAGAAAAACCCAGCGGATTTAAATCAGGGCTACGTGCAGGCCAAGGCACTTCGCTACCGTGTCCAATCCAATGGTGCGGGAAACTTTTATTTAGATATTCTTTTACTTCTCGGGTACTGTCAATTTATTATGTCAATGCCTACTACTTTGGAAAAATAATTTTTTAATTTAATTCCCGCCAAACAAAAAATAACATAGCTACATATGTGTAAATCAATGAACCATGAAATAAATTGTATATGATAAGAAGACAAAAAAAATATAGAAAATAAGATAAAAAAGCTTTCATAGTTACCTTTCTTAAATTATGGAAACGTTATATTTTATCTTTACTGACACAAAATTTTTTTATAGTATAGGTTTATACTTACTTTTTAACTTTTCTATTTTTTTAACATATTAAGTAAAAATGTACTAAATTTTGAGTATGTGGAGTTAGCTATTGTTAAGCCTAGGCACCCTAAATTCAAATACGCCAGCAAAGCATCGGAAACAACTAAATAATGTACAACTTAAAGAGAAGCCGTACACAACACATTTGACGCCTCGAAATTAGGCTTTGCAATTCGAAACGGTTATAAAATATAGCCTGTTGTCTGCCTGTATATCTCCTTTATCAATAGATTTTATTATTAACTTTTGTAATTTTACTGAACTTTAAAATTTAGTAAGGTAATTCAAGTGAAATCCAGACATTTTCATAAAGTTCGCATCATATTTTATAAAATTTGTTTACAAGTAAATACGGAAATTTTAGAAATAGGACAATTTGTAGGCCATTTTGTTGAAGATTCCTTTACAAATATTATTTGACATAATCGTTACTTAAACTCACGATATTGTAGGGAAATAACTACTCTGCAGACTAATACCCCGACCTGCATTGAATTGTACCCACAATATCTAGAAATAGCTATGACAGCCGAACCTTTCTTACATCTCACCTATACTCATTCTATACCTATAGCTAAGACACCAATAATTGCTGAATTATTTGTTGGTTGTTTCACTCTGTAACCGGTATATATCAGATGGTTCGGCTGACCAATGATTCTAGCTTACGGCAGGGCGGGGTGTTAGTCCGGAGAGTAGTTGTTCCATGCAATACCTTCAGTTTAAAAATAGTTTCGTCTAATACCTAAAATAGTAGGTCGTTATCTGACAGTTTGCAGCATTGAGCACCAGTGGCTATTCATAGATGTACATAGTATTGTTATACTCACCTACAACCTTCATTTTTTCTTTTGGGATATACGTGATTAATCTTCTTTGTACTTAGTCCTTCAATTACTCGAATTAAATGTTTCTTAAAATTTCTTAAACGAATTTCGGAATTTCCAATTTTTGACAAAGTTTTTGACCACGGTGGGCCATAAAATTGATCTCATCAAGTAGTCCAATCTACCAATACGTTCTAAAATTCGAGACTGGTACTGCTCAAAGTAAAATATACTGTGTGTACATAATGGAAAAATTAAAATGGAATTAAACTGTTAGTAAGTTTTTTTATATTAGAATACTTTTGAATATTTAAATTTGAAAAAAAATCCACTTGTCAAACCTGAAATATATAAAAAGAAAACATTCGAGTGTTCTTAATTTATCAAAAGGAGAGAGTGAAAGGCTGTACGAGAGTTCGCATAATTGTACACAGAGTCCCACACAGAGACACACAATATTAATCACTAGAACGTGTGGTCCAAAAATTCAGGACCTGTTACAGGACGGCAAAATCACCGTAGAGGAGTTCAAGCAAGCTGTGCAGCAGTGCTGCATGGGCAGGCGGTACGAGGACTTCCCGCAGGCCATGAAGATGTTCATCGACTCCAATTTTAAGATGGTGGACCTCAACGACGATGGTGTCATAGCCGCGGACGAATATAGGTTCAACTGTATCACCAAGTTCGCCATTGACGATGTTGAGATTGTTGATGAAGCTTTTAACAATATGCTTAATGTGAGTACCCCTTAGTTCAAGCTAATTCTGAAGGTCAGTGTGTCAGTGTCAGTAAAGATATGATAAAACGTTTCTATATCATCAGAGAAAATGTAGTGAAAGATTCTTCCTTCGTTAAAATAAGGCTAACAGATGTAGAGTTTTAAGTATATTTTTTTATCAGATATCAATAACTTGTTTTTTAAAATGTCTGTTATTTTCTTTTCATTTTTTTCTCTAGACTGAGAACCACTAAGCTTGTATGATCAATAAAAAGTTTTTAATAGCATTCACTTCGTAAATAGTTGCGTGAGAGGGCACTTTACCAGATGACGTGGGTCTCACGAACCTACGGAACTATTCTTAAAGTATAAAATTAAAAACCTATTTTATAGATCATACGATTTCTGTTCAGATTTAGACTCGCAGGCTTGCAATGACAGAGCCAGTATTGTTGAAATCTGGTATATACAGGGTGAGTCATTCATAATCGTACACAGCTTAGTGTCAGATAGTTAACGTCAAAATATAGTGATTGAGCCAAACTTGTTCATTTTCATTCTACAGAATGTTAACGTTGAAAAAATATTTTCGATTTTTTGCTATATTTTAAGTATGTATGGACCGATTGTTTTGAAAATTTGTAGTTTTGCATTTTTTGAGGAGGCAAATACGAATATGTACAGTGTTGGGGTCACGTCTAGGGGGCGTTAGTTATGCTGTCCTATCAATGTAAAAATATGTCTAACATTTTGTATTTTACAATTTAGAATTTTTTAACTTAAAATTATTGAACTACGTTCAATTCTAAATAAAAAACGTATACTTGTTACAAATCGATAAATTTAACTGTTTTCGAGATACAGACGTTTAAAGGTTTTGAGATTCGGCAGGAAATCAGAAAATTAGGTCATAAGATACCAAACCTGAATTAAGAATTAAGACAAACATTACAGCAACTGAAAATTTTTTTATGCATATCTTAACAAATTATTAATCGATTCTCAAAGCAACCACCAGCTACTTCAATGCACTTATTTAAATTTTGTCTGATGTTAAATAAAGTTCTATGTTGTTTGATAATATGAACTGATTCTTGAATATTTTTCCACAGTTGTTCTTGACTATTAATAATGTCTTTGTAAACTAGACATGTAAGTAGCCCCAAAAGAAAAACCCAGCGGATTTAA